CTGACAACCGTCTCTTTCAGCAAGGAGAACAGCGCTTAACGCATGATCAGAGACGGCCAGGTACATGTAGAGTACTTCTTTGGGCAAAGGGCTGACCAGCCTCGGCAAGGAATGCAAGTGAACTTTCAATTTCTGGAAGGCGGGCTCAGCATCCGGCCCCCATTCAAACCTTGCCTTTTTCTTAATTGCCTGGAAAAAGTATAGGCATTTGTCGCCTGATCGGCTTAGAAATCTTCCCAAGGCCGCCAGACAACCTGTTAACTTCTGAACCTCTCGGATGGTACGAGGCGACTGCATGTCAATGACCGCCTGCACCTTCTCAGGGTTCGCCTCTATTCCTCTCTGATTGATAAGGAATCCGAGAAATTTCCCAGACTCAACCCCAAATACACATTTCTTGGGATTGAGCATGACATGGTGCCGCCTGAGTGTGGCGAAAGTTTCTCGGAGGTCCGACAGATGATCTTTCTGAAGTTTAGTCTTGACAATCATATCATCAATGTATGCCTCGACATTTCTCCCAATCTGATCAAAGAACACAGTGTTTATCATTCGCTGGAAGGTAGCCAGAGCATTCTTAAGACCAAACGGCATGACCGTGTAACAGTATAACCCCTGATCAGTGACGAAGGCCGTCTTCTCCTGATCTTTCTTCCATAAAGGAATTTGATGGAAACCAGAGTAGGCGTCCATAAAGCTCATCAAAGCATGGCCGGCTGTTGAGTCGACCAGATTATCAATTTTAGGCAGAGGGTAACTGTCTTTGGGGCACGCCTTGTTTAAGTCTGTGTAGTCTACACACATTCGCCAGGTGCCATTCGGCTTTTTAACAAGCACCACATTTGCAACCCAGTCTGGGAAGTAACATTGCCGAATGAACCCTGCATCAAGTAATTTTTTAACTTCGGCGGCTGCCGCCTGACTTCTTTCTTCGCCATGGTTCCGTTTCTTCTGCCGTACCGGCTTCTTTTTTGGATCCACGGCCAGTTTATGTACCGCCAGATCAGGATTAATGCCTGGCATTTCATGGACTTCGAATGCAAAGATGTCCTTGTATTCTTTCAATAGTTTGTGAAAGTCGTCACCAAGGTCTCTCAGAGCAGTCGTCCCAACTTTGACTGTTCGATCAGGACGTGAGTCGTCTAAGATCAGGTCCGTATGCTCACCAGCCGGCTGAGGGCGGAACTCATCCGACCGCTCCTCTGCCAATGATTGCTATTTTCTTTCTTTTCTTGCGGCCCCTGTCTGGGATGCCTTTCTCTTCTTGCCGCCTGCTTCTTGAACAGGTGCACTCTTCTTGACATTGTCAAGGTCTGTTTTTCCACCACTTGACCCAGTGGCCATAACAGTGGGCTTGACATCCGAGAGATAGCACTCTCGGGCCATCCTCTGATCTCCCCTTAGGGAGCCGACTGTTCCATTTTCCCTCTCAAACTTGAGCAACATAAGAGATGGGATTATAACAGCCTTGGAATTATTCAAGGTTGGACGACCCAGAATCATGTTGTAGGCCGAGAGTTCTTCTACTACCAAGAACCGGACTACCATGTGTCGTCCTTCCCCTTTTTCGCCCAAGCGGATGGGTAAATCCACTCGTCCCAGTGGGTGGACGACTCCTCCTCCAAACCCTACTAAAGGGTGGGAAGCCGGATGTATGCAATCAGTCTGATATTTTAGTTTTGACAGACATTTGCTACTGATGAGATCTGAGGAGCTTCCGGTATCTATGAGGATTCGGCCAACTCTCTGGTTGGCCACTTTACATTCAATAACGATAGGGTCGTCATGCGGCCCTCTTACCCCTCCTAGATCTTCTTCAGTGATGACAATCTCAGGAAATGAATATTTGGACGGCCGTTCTTGGTGAACGGAATTTACATCTAACCGCCTTATATTATCTTTGTTGCCCCTAATAGTGGGGCCGCCTCCTGAGAAGCCGCCTGCAATGGTGTAGACGACTGCATCATCTGTATCGGAGCTGTCGGCCTGTTGATTCTTTTTGGCCGACTGCTTTTTTGAGGAAGTGTTCCCCGTGGATTTCTTGACATAAGTGTCAAGATCACCTTGCTCAGCCAGGCGGTCCAAATACCGCATGAGACTGATGCAGTCATTGGTGTGATGACCAACATCATCATGATAAGCACATAATTTATCTTGGTTCCGGTTGTTTGCAGAACCCTTCATGGGGACCGGCTTCTCAATTGAGATTCGTCCCTTGATTTCTTTTAGGATAAACTGGTTATCCTTGTTAAACGCATACTTTGGGGAGTATGGTTTGAATTCTTTTTTCTTTTTCTGGGCCGGCTGTTTGGAGGAATCAGCCGCCCAGACCTCTTTTCTCTTCTCATCTTTGTTGGACGACTGTTTCTGTCGTCCTTCTCTTTTGTCAAACCTTTTCCCGTCCGACTGTTTTACTGTACAAAGATCAGTCGCCTGTATATAGGATTCCGCTTCAATCAAGGCCTCTTGAAGAGTCGCCACCCTCTTTCGGACCAAGTCAAATTTGAAGGTCAACCCGTCCTTGAGACCTCTGAAAAAGTCAGTATAGGCTACCTCATCCGGTAACCCTTGAATCTGTATTCTCATCAGGTTAAACCGCCTGATGTAAGAACGAAGACCCTCCTTCTCGCCCTGCTGAATTGTGCCTAAATCAAGGGTCGTTTTCTTCGCAGGGATGTTCATGGCGAAGTTGGAGGTGAATAAGTAAGCAAGCGTCCTGAAGCTATTTACACAACCAGTCGGCAGGTTGCCGAACCATTGTTGTGCGATTCCTTTGAGAGTCGCTGGGAAACACTTGCACCAGGTAGGATCATCCAACCCTTGAAGGTACATCAGGTTGGTGAAGGCCATAAGATGGTCTTCTGGGTTAGTAGTGCCGTCATAGGCGCCTACCCAATACATTTTTCACTTTGGCCGGCTGAGCGGCTTCAGTAATTTCCTTGGAGAAGGCCGACGGCTGTTCACCAAGTCTAAGCAACTGTAGCTGCCAGTCCATAGGTTGGACGTTTTTTGCTGCATGTCCACCAAAAGGAGGTGGCTGCAAAAAATACTGTTGTTGCGGCACAAACGGTAAGTTTGGTACCGCCTGGTCGCTATGAAAGCCGGACTGACGGGAGGTACCGCCTGACTGACTCTCATGATACGACTGCGTATGCCTCATTGAGGTATTTCGCAGACTGTCTTGGAAGTTTGAAGTAGAGGCCGACTCTGACAATCGGTCACTCTTCTTCTGCTCTAGCAGTAGCCGAGCGTCTGTGAATGTTTGCTTCGACCCGTCCGCCTGAATATGACGAACAGGTTTCCTATTTCCTGTAGGAAAATGGAATTTTGTGAAATCAAGGGCAGGTGGCTCCCGCTTCCTAGATTTAGGATGAGGAGTCGCCTCTCGCCCTTGAACTGGCTTCCTCTTCAGTGAAGTGGAGGGTTTCTTAGCCGACTGCTCCTTGACCAGAGCAGGCGGCTTCTTGTTGATCAACTCTTGAATCTCTCCCTTGAAGTCCCTCATGAAGGTCATGAGTTCGTTCCTTGTGATGGGAGCAGATCCATCAGTCGGCTGTTGTCGAACAGGCGGTGCGCCTGCTGGCTCGCTTCCTGTTTGAAGATGTTCTCGTTCCCTCCTTTCGGTATGACGGGTACGTCGGGCCCTTAGAGTCCCGTCTGAAGCTGTGTGAGCTTCAACTTCAAATTCACTCTCAGTATCGTGGTCCGACTGAACTTGAGGGTCGTCTAGGGGACGCCTCTCTTCAGGAGTCGGTACAGACTTGGATGCCATCTCAGAAGTACTCTCCCCACAGACGACGCCAAATGTTTCGGGGTTTTCTGATGTCCTGCGGGAGAGTTACAATTCCGAGACTGGAACCGGACGCCTGTACCTGCAAAATAACGGAGACTCCTGGTGGTGGGAGCTCCGCCTCCAACGGTCAAGTTAGTACTTGATTAAGGAGTAATTAATGCGGAAATTAAAGTGAGTGGGTCTCTCTAGGTGAGAGTGTTTAATGTGAGTTTTAAGCGTAATCAGCCTGTAACTCTGGGTGTAATCAATGTGTTTTTTCTGTAATCCCCCCTTAATGAGGATTAAGGGAGGTATTTATAACCTTGGGAAACGTGCCAATCCTAGGTTTAGGTTAACCTAGGGCCGATTGGGCTTCCCTCGGAAGTTGGGCCTGGGTGGCTGGTTTCTCCATTAGGCATGGAGTATGCCACGTGTCATGACATAACAGGTCCAAGGTGGACGAATAAGCGCGTGCCACGTGGCAAGCCATGACAGTTCCAACTGGGGGACACTTGGCAGGACCTGATTGGCCCACGTGGCGCATTCTGATTGGTGGGAGCAAAATCCCCTAATCACTAGCTGCTAGCTAGCTCAGCATGTCGTAGCTCCCAAGCCAGCACGTGCATGTTGCGGCTGGGCTTGCGGTCATGCCTTGCATGCATGGTAGCTTTGCTAGCCATATTGCCCGAGCCATCTGATGGCTCGGCCATTCCAAAGCTAGGGCTATACGTTGTGACTTGTCGTTTGACTGATTTTTTCATCTCGTCGTTTCCTAAATTCGACTCGACTTACGACGCTCGGTTTCGACGCTCTAAGCTCGGTATTTGACGTCTTTGTTCATAAAAACTCTATTGACTCACTAAATCCTTCGGATTAATTTGTCGCTTCGGTTCGGTTACACGATTGGGTGTGACTCGAAAGGTTCAGTCAAGATTAAGCTGTAATATTAATTATTCACTAGTAGAAAAATGAAATAGGCACCGCACTTTTCGCACCGCTTCGTGAAAACCGGTGGGAAAAGAAATGGGCGGGATTGGGAAAAATACTTTTCGCACTAGTTTTTGATAAATCGGTGCGAAATCATCCTTTTCGCACTCGTTTGAACCGGTTCGAAATAAAAAAAAAAGAGAAAGGGATTTCGCACCGGTTCAGACCAAACCGGTGCGAAATAATGTTAAATTAATAAAAAATATATATATGAAAAAAATGCCAGTGACCCTTCTTTCTCTTTCATTCCCCTCTTCTTTCTTTCTGTTTCCTCAGAGCCATTTTATCTCTCTCCTCTCTCTCCTCTCTCCTCAAACAAACCCTAATCAACGACCTCTTGCTCCTTCCTTATCTTCTTTCTCTTCTTCCTCTTTCATGTTGTCGGCGCGTCGGTCGGTCCTAGCAACGGCGGCAGTGGCGCAAGGAGCTGGTACAAACCCACCTCTCGTCGTTTCGCCCTCCCGAAATGATTTTTCCTGAAGGTTCGTGCTTTTTTCTTCTTTTCTCTTTAAATAATTTCATTATTTCATGGTTTTTGAGTTTTTGTTTTGCTCAAATTTACAATTTCATGCTTTCGGAACCCAAGGGTTTTCTGATTTTCTATTTTAATTCAGTATTACTCCATAGAAAATGTTGCTTTCTCAATTACATGCAGCACCGCAAATCACTCAATAACATGCAGCACCGCAAATCTAGGGTTTATGTTTTATCTGATTCATAATAATTGTCAATGCCGTAAGTTTAGGGTTCGAAATCTCAACTATTTTTGATGTTTGAATCAAATTTCCCTCTGAATTTTTTACCCTAATTTGATAATTGAATCAAACATCCCTTAAAATATGTTATTTTTCGAGCATAATTTGATAATTGAATCAAATAACCCTAAAAATATGTGCTTTTTCGAGTTTTAAGTTTTAAGTTTTGAAGATTTCTCTGTTTTTGGTTGAATAGTAATGAAATATATCTGCTGGTGATGTTGTGTTATTGAATTGTCGGATTTTTAGCTTTACGTGTTCCGTTGAGATTTTGGGGTTTGTATTTCAGTTTATGGGTGAGATTATTACACTGCTAGATTTTTGTGTTCAGTTTAGTAAACTTTAATTGGTGATGCTTAATTTAGTAATCAATCTGCTTTTTTGCTCTTTGTTATGCTTGAAATTGTTAGGACTTCCGTCTGTTTATTTCTATGAGGATTTATTCGAGGAACTAGACAAGTACGGGGAGATTAAGAGTCTCAACATTTGTGACAATTTGGCTGACCACATGCATAAGCGCAGAGACGCCTTTCTCTTTCTAGTTGAAAATCATGCTACAACCATTGTTGTCGGCGAAACTGGCAGCGGAATAACTACTCAAATTCCTTAGGTTTTCTCACTTTCTTCAATTTTATGCTCAATTTTATTGTTTTGATTGTTAATTAATTTTGATGAATTTTATTTGTTTTTGTTGGAATTTCTAGTATTTGAATGAAGGAGGATAGGCTGATTCTGGTCATGTTATTGCTTGCACTCAGCCTCGTCATCTCGCTGTTCAGGTATTGTGTTCTTAATCTTTCTAATGTTTTGTACTTTTGTTGGTAACTATTGAAAATTTAATGATTATAATAGTGGTTATCAAGGGTATGATAGCAGTAATTGGTATAATGGTGCCTCAGCTGAGGAGATGGCTTCGACAATGCCGGTCAGTGGGGCTGATAGCTTTGCTAGTTTGGTGGGAGGAAAAGAAAGGATCAACCACCAGCTGAAATTATTGAGGTGAAGCAGGATGAATTGATGAAGAACCGCCCAACTGGGGATAAATCTAAGCTTACTGGAATAGCATTTGGACCTTCTTATCAGGTATATCATATTTTATAACCCTGTGTACTTTAGATTTTTCAATTTGATTGTTATTTCTTGATTGTTGGCTTGCTGCTTATGTTATTAGTTCCTTAATTGGTGAATTGTGATTGTAACTGTGTGTTTATTGGGTTGAAAGTTGATTGCTTTGGGAGTTCAGAGTCCTTCACTTTACATATGGGAAAAATTGTGGTCAGACTTTTTTCTTTGGTACTGAATTTTCCTTTTCTACGGCAGCTGAGTTACTCCATGGATCCTATGGGAAAAATTGCATCCTTTTTAAACAAAATAGTTTCGTGAATTATAGTAGTGGTTATGATGACAACTCTGAAATGGTTAGGAAATCAGAATCCAGTAAACTTCATATTGGAGTATGGCATCTGGAAGATGGTTCCCATCTTAGTTTAATTGGATCACACCCTGGCTATTCTAATCTATTGTGGCCACCTCCATCTTGGATTTGGACAAAAGACAAGTATGTTTTCAGTCATGGTTTGATTGGTTTATGTTCTTTACTATGATTAGCTGTTTTGTGATTTATTCTTCTATTATATTTCTCATTGAAGTCTTGACTAGAATTGCTTCTGGAGTACCTTCTACTCTTCATCGGGAAGATAGGAACTGGTTTTTATCCTCGTAATGCTTCTACTCTTCATCGGAAGATAGGATTTGGGGGTTTTTTTTATTATTATTTATTTATTTTATTTATATATTTTTATAAAATCTTTGTAATGTGTTTGGTTTCTTGTTTTTGACCTGTAGATTGCCCTTTTGATTGGTTAGTAAACAATAACTTTCAAGTAGTTAATAAGTGTTGCCAGTTGGTCAAAAAGACCCTTCCTAGATGATATACCCCCACCATGGTTGTCATTAGTTAGAAATTTAGATATTTTCTCTGTGAGCATGTCACACAGGAGCTGAGAATTAATGTCAAGAGAGCCTTCTACCCCTCTTCAAGTCTCTACCAGTGTTCTTCTTACTGGGGCTATTACTGTCTTTCTCTTTCGCTCTATTCGTCGCAGAGCTAAACGAGCTAAGGAATTGGTATATTGTTTTTTGCCCATTTCATTATGTGTTGTTTGATTAAATTGCAGTTCTTGGTTTTGTGGGTTCTTTCAAACTTGTGATATTCTGCCTTTGTACTTGTTTAGTTTTAGTAGGTTTACATGTTGGAATTCATTAAATTTCAATATTGCCTGTTGTGTGGATAATGATACGGCTTACCCGCCTGGTGCCGGATTGTCACGTATATATATAAACAATGTAAAGCTTTCATTTGATAAGTATAAACAGATGATGATGGTTTATTGTATTTTTATTGTTGTTGGTCATATATTCAATGTTTTTTAATGTACATTCATAGTTGTTTTAGTGTATCTTTATGGCTGTTGAATGAATATCTTTTGGTTTGTTTATCATAAATATGTCATGATAATTGAGAATATTGAGGCCATTTTTATGAATATATGGTGATTTTATCACAAAAATACTGTGCTAATTATACATATAATGAGACATCAATTATCAATTTTATAGAAACGATGTTGCATCTCCAAAGGAATGACTACAGTACAGTTGAAATCTTGCTCTTTAGAGTAATTTATTGCTTTATATGAAGACCTGTCATTTAACTGAAACTAGTTGATGACTAGAGTAGGTTGCAGGACGATGTTAACTAAAATTCTCTTTTACTGTCAGGTCTGAGCAATTGGTCTCATAGTACTCTGTAGTTATAGTGGGTGCATTTGGATCATCAAGTGGCTGTATCTGATTATCTTGATTGCTTGTGTTGTGTGTGGAAGACAGAGAATAATTTTTACCTGACAACTGCGGTTCTATCCCTTTCAATCCATTCTCTCTAAGTAATGACTAATGAGGATCTGCACAAAGTTATTTTTGTTTGAAGCTTCAGCCTTTAATATGTAATATGATATTTACCTTCCAGCCGTACAGATTGACAAAGATACTGCAGTATAGAGAGACAACTTCCATATAGCTTAAGTAACTTCATTTGTTTTAGAGATTTTTTTACTTAGATTTTTTGTGTACCCTGATGTAATTTACTCCTACATATATATCGTGTTTGTTCTGATTCTTTTTCGTGGTTCTGCATGTTGATTCAGCCAGCAGTACAAACTAGCAATGGCAGCAGCAGCACACAACCAGCAGCATAACCAAAGCAGCAACAACAGTACAGCAGCAGCACCACAAGAGAAAAACAAACAACAGCTAGCAACCCACCCAGCACCCCACAGCAACTCATCCATCACCATGAAGGCATTTATGAAATAATTAAAGAGTAATTTCATATACAAATTTTTATTTTATTTTTTTGGACGAAAATTGTAATATTATGGCTTTTTTTTAATGAAAATATGTAATTATACATGTGTTAGTGTTTATATATCAATTTAAGTGAAAAATCTATGGGGTTTTAGCACCCCCCAAATCTAGACCGGTTCAAAACCGGTGCGAAATGGGGGTTTGAACCGGTGGGGAATGCATATTTTCGCCTAGTAAAAGAAAATATAGTTCTAACTCAATGAACATAAAGATCAAACTCAAAGAACATATTATATATGCTCGCGTTCTTTATAAATGTCTATAATGTTCTTTTTTCGCCCATGTTCTTTAAAATATGTCTAATGTTCTTTCCGTGTGCACCCGGGTGCACCAACCACGCGTTAGAAAAGGGAAGTGATTGGAATTTAAGGGAAATGAGCTTAAAGATAATACTCGATTTTTTAGGTTTTGCGGTGACAACATAAATAAAAGCATGCAAAATAAACATAAACATAAGAAAAGAGAGAGATAAGAGAGAGAGTGCTCACCCTCGTAGCATGCTTTGCTCAACCTCGAGTTCGGACTTGAAAGCTTCAAGTTCCGCAAGTGCGAGAACCTCTGACAGCTCATACCCTCGCTATCGAACTGCACCAGTCCCTACTCCGAAGCTTAGTAGGGGTTAGACTAAAAATAACTTAGAGTTATTAGAACAAAGGTTTTCTCTTCTTTGACATCCCTTAAAGTTCACCAACTCAAGTGTCTTTTGCCAAATGATTGGTATTTATAGGGAATAGATCCCGTAAATTCCCATCATCTTTCAATGTGGGTTAGTTGGTAAAAAGGCAAAATGGAATTTAATTTAATTCAAAATTAAATTAAATAGCCAAATGGATCACCAAAGGACAAGTGGCATGAGGAGAGCAAAGGGTTAGGTGAGGACCACCTTCCCCTTTCTCCCCAAGCAATCCCAAAAACCGGTCCTCACACATGCCCCAATCACAGTACGCCAGTTGGCGTGGCCTGCCTTAGGCGCCAAGGCTGCCTCGCTGGCGGCCTGGCCCCTAAGCTGGGCCTGCTAGCTGGTCGCATGTGCTGGCGACCCGCATCAGCATGCCTCGCATCATTGCGGGCTGCTGGGTGCTGCTCGGCGCCCCTACCTCAAGCCCAACTTGCGTGCTGCTGCTGTGCTGCATCCTCACGCAAGGCCCAGCGAGCTATTGTTGCTGGCCTTGCTTGGGATGGTGCAGGGCTGGTGCTAGCATGCTAGCCTGCGCGCCAGCTAGCATGCGATTCTAGCTGCTAGCTAGCTCAGCATGCCGTAGCTCCCAAGCCAGCACGTGCATGTTGCGGCCGGGCTTGCGGCCATGCCTCGCATGCATGGCAGCTTTGCTAGCCATATTGCCCTAGCTATCGGATGGCTCGGCCATTACAAAGCTAGGGCTATACATTGTGACTTGTCGTTTAACTAATTTTCCCATCTCGTCGTTTCCTAAATTCGACTCGACTTACGACGCTCGGTTTCAACGCTCTAAGCTCGGAATCTGACGTCTTTGTTCGTAAAAACTCTATCGACTCACTAAATCCTTCGGATTAATTTGTCGCTTCGGTTCGGTTACACGATTGGGTGTGACCCAAAGGGTTCAGTCAAGATTAAGCTGTAATATTAATTATTCATTAATATACTGATCGGAAGTGGCCTCTAGCTAGGCATTCCGATAACTTGACATCATTGAATAATTAGCTTTCTAATTAATTCTGAACCCTCTATCGGAATAATACACTTGTACGAAGGACACTATTCCTTTCACGATTTACTATTTGAGTATTTCATTTCTCTAGCATGTTATGGGAAACCTTTTCAGGATACCACAGTAAGTTAAATCTTACAAATTGTTCTGTGAGAGGAGAATTCTTGGAGAATAATTTTCATTGGATTTTTGGTGTGAAATGTGTTAATTCTAATTCTACCAGAATTTTTATCCTCACTCATAATTGGAAGTTAATGTAATTTGTAGCAAGATCTTATTTCCATTTCCACTCACCCCAAATGAAGAACTACGTGAGAGGAGAGTCACTAAATATACTAATGCTACGATTGGTAAGGAACTTCTTACGTTGGTGAATCTATACTATATATTAAAAGTCGTTTCTTTTAAAAGAACGGTGTCACGTGACACTCTTCAACTTATATGACACCATGTCACAATGCCACATCACTATTCAAAGTACATGCGACACGTAAACTTGCAACTTCATTTAACAAAATAAATATATGGTTTTATATAGATTCAAACCCGCAACCTCCAACAAATAAAGGTTACACACTAACCATCTCAACCAACTTTTATTGGTGTTTTGAATTTCACATAATTAACATTATATATTCCTTTCAAATTAGAGGTTATTTAATTTATTTATTCTTCACAAGATTAGAAAATAAATACATATGAGATAAAAAAAAAACCGTAATATCTGAGGCAACGCCCAAATCACATACTAGCTATACAAACAATCGAACATAATTATCTAATTAAAGAAGTACAAACTAACAATCCGGGGCATCACCCGAGACACACACTAGGTTATATGATGAAAAGGTGGTTGTTTGGTTGATGGGTGAGTATGGGATGAAAATTTAAACTTTAAACTTTACAGCTATAAATATATAATCCCAACTTTCGATTATTTCTTTATAATCCCAACTTTATACTTCATCCGCCCAAAACAATCCCAAGTGATGGTGACCTATTAAACAGGTAATTTTTTTTTTTAAGATTTAATATTATTTTTATAAAAAAAAAAGAATTAATTTTAATATTCTTATTAACTAATTAATAAAAAAAAAACCACCACATCCACCCAGCACCGCCCCAAGCTCTCCCCTCCAGCCGGCGGCACCCCTTTCACTGTCCTCCCCTTGCCGGCGCCGGACCCAGCTTACTACGATCGGCGCCGCCCCTACATTCTCCCAGCCGTCAGCCCAGCCGCTATGATTGAAACACCAAGATGGAATTAACGATTGATTTCCAATACCATTGTTCGGAATAGAGGTGGTTTGCCAGTTCTCGTTGTACATGGGGCTGCCAGAAGAAGGGTTTCGTTCGGCGGAAGAGGTGACGGGGATTGCGACGGCTTTGGTGGTGGCGGTTGTTCCGCTAGCTGAGCTTCTTGATTGAGGAGAGGGAAAGTTAAGATTGAATACAAAAGAGAATCTTATATACAATAAACAAATGTTTTAAATGGACCCACTTATAGTTTCTTAAACTACGTATTCACCTCAACGTCCCAAATATTATGGGACGAAGGGAGTAACAAGTTAGATGACCGGTTGGGACTCATTTGGACGGATGGTGTATAAAGTGGGATTATTAAATAATAATCAAAAGTTGGGATTATTCTTGGCAATTTTTCCTATATATATAAATGAGATCCTGCAAGAACCACATTGAATAATAGAAACTAGGAACTCATCTGGATCGTTCATTGTGCTTCAGTTGACGGCTTGTAGTTCACCTGTTTCATCAAGGGTATTTTCGTAATTTTAGTCAGTGAATGACCTTCGTTCTAATTTTGGGAGTATTTTTTTCTCTCTCTATTCTCTCGAAAGCTCTTAAATGCGATTTTTTTTAATTCGATTTTGCTGCTCGATTTTTTGGATTTCGCTCATTGATATCTTCGATTTTGTTCAAATTCTTGGAGTTTGGTGTTCAATTTCTATTAATCGATCATTCGGGAGAGGTAAATTTTACAAATTATGTTTTTTTTAAATTCTTTTTATAGATTTTTCCATACAATTAGGATTTTTGCTTTGTTTTTGTTCGTCTTTCGTTTTCGATTTCTATTGATTGTTGTGTTTACTCAATTTGATTATTATTATTGTATTTTATTTTGTTAGGGTGTTTGTTTCTTATTCTATTTCATTTCTTTTTAATCGAATTTTGTTTTAGTTTTTTGTTTGATTATGTGATGCATTTTTTTTAATGTTCACTTAAATTAGATTATGTTTCTTTGGTTTACTGCTGGTGTTTTGATTATTTGATGCAGTTTTTTTTTTTTAATTTTCGATGCTACTTATTTTATATGTTTTTTATTTACTTTGTAGTTAGAATCATTTACAGTTAGTCAGTGGATTCAATTCTATGAGTTAAATATATATTCTGGTACAATCATTTCATTAACTTGATGGTAATAATATGTTTTAATCATATATCAATATCTAAAACAGACTATAAAGTAGTAAATGATGAAGCACTTAAAATTTCTATATGTATTTAATTTGCTCACTTTTTATTGTTTTTCTTTTACTATTAGTGATGTTTTATCTATTTTTTAATTAGATTCATCTACTTTTGAGGATGATGTCTAAAATAGTTGGGTGAGCGCGGGGAAATTAGGTCGTTGACTAACCTCCTCACGGCCAAACAAAATTTATTATAATCCTAAACTAACCCCTAAACAAGTCTAGTGGTAAGTTCGGAGTCGAACCACAAGGAACGGTAATGTTGGATTGTTCTCGATCTAATGCTTAAGCTACGCCGAAGTCGGTTTATGGATAGTGGACACTACAACTACACTAACACACATATAAAGATCAAGATATTACAAAGTCTACTAGGGGCAAAGATCCATTTTGAACAATCAACAAGTTAATGGGAATCGATTTGATAATCAATCATGCAAAGAAAGAATTAAAATGGGAATTAATTACCATCAAGAGCAATCTCTCAAATTCCTAGCCTAGATCCCTCATTGACTAGGTGCATAGAAGAAATTTACCCAAAATGCAATCAAATATATAAATTCTAATTCACAATCCCTTTTCAAACTAGAACTAACATGCAATTAAGTTTGCTATCTTGGGAGATCAATCCAATCTAAAACAAACAACATGCCATCATCAATTCAATCAATTTAATCACACAATTATCATCAAATTTATCTCAAATAACTCAATTAACCATAACAAAGCTTCACTCAACACCTAGTAGAAGGAAATCTACTCAAACATGATTAACAAAGCAATTAATAAAGCATAAAGAGAGAAGAGAGTAAGAAATGCTCATTGATATAAAATGGAGATCTTCAAATCATCAAA